GTCAATCTTAAAGTACAACCACGGCCTTAAGGTGCGGAGTACATTTTTACAGAAATAGGCTGTGAATAATGAATCCTTGGATTAACAGCCTAAGGTATTTTTGTGTAGTCTTATTTCAAGTTAAATTTATATTATTAGATCGTCAAGAACTTAATGTCGCTTTTTTAGATGAAAAAACCCGAACAAATTATATATCAAAACAAAACATTTATTAAATGAAATAGTCTCCATTCTTATTGATGATGCTTTTCCATCTTACAATCAGGTTGTTAATGCCCTGATTAAGGAAATCACTTGGCTTTGAAGCAAAAAACATGATGATGTCCTCTTTAACACCTTCCACAGTTGCATACGTTTCCCCATTAAGATGGTGTTGCAGCGAACGAAAAAAAAATGGTAATCTGATGGTGCCATATCTGGAGAATATGGTGGGTGGGGGAAAACTTCCCAAACCAAATGCATAATCTTGTGTTGCGTTAAACGTGCCACCTTTCCGATTGACGAGTGAAGGGCGTTTCTGATGAAGGATTTGATTTCAACGTTCCATTTGCTAAATATAGATCTCTGCATTAACAGTTCGCTGTGGATTGAGGAGTTCGAAATGAAGATGCTTTGCATTTGGTGGGACATCAAAGGAGTAAACTTATGTTCTGTATCACTTAGTTTTAGTTATGTTCTGTATCTGGATCTACCTAATTTACTCTTTTGGGAAACCAGTTTCACCCAAAAATACCAAAACTTTAAGTATTCCTTATCCTAAACAGTTGCTAGAGAGTTTGCTTATTTGTTATAGATTTCGCGCAAAGCTACACGTGGGCTATCTGCGCTAGTCGTCCCTAATTTAGCAGTGTAAGAGTAGAGGGAAGGCAGCTAGTTATCACCACCCACCGCCAACTCTTGGACTACTCTTTTACCAACGAATAGTGGGATTTACCGTTACATTATAACGCCCCCACGGCTGAAAGGGCGAACATGTTTGGTGGGACAGCGATTCGAACACGCGACCCACAGATTGCGAGTCGAGTGCCCTAACCACCTGGCCATGCCGGGCCCAATTATGAGCTTGCTAAGAAACAACTGGGAAGTTTAAAGAACGACAAGGCTCCTGGGCCAAATAATATTTCACCAAAGGTTTTGAAGGAGGTTAAGGATTGAATACGTGAGCCATTTCCTTAAATTTTTTTCTAAGTCTTTGAGTAGTGGGCAGGTGCTAAGGGCTTGGAAGTTGGCCAATGTTATTCCTCTTCTTAAGGGTGGCAATAAAAAGTGTCCAGATAATTACAAGCCTAATAGGTTTAAATAACTGGTGGGAAAAGTTTTGAAAGTCTGTTAAAAGATACCTTGGAAGTCCATTTAACAAGGTATAAAAACAATTTATTGGATAGTCAACCGGATTTTAACAAAGAAAAACCTTGCCTTAAAAACCCTTTGACTTTCTTTGAAGAGGTCACTGCTTATATTGATGAGAATAAAGGTGTGGGTTTAGTATTAGGTCATCAAGAAATTAATGCCGCGTTTTGGAACACTTTCACCAACCACCCCCCCTAAAAACGTACATCACTTATAATAGCTAAACGAACGGCCTAAACGTTACGTTTGTGTAGCCTATATAATGTGTAAGGTTTAGTATACTCTAATTCCTTATAGTGATGGCACACGAATAGATACACATTCGGCATGTAATGCTGTTTGAATACTAGAAGGGAAACAACACCTCTGTAGCCACAAAGAATATTAAAGAAGTTTATGGAATTGTTTTGAACGGTCGTAAGTGTCAACGATGGTTCAGCAAATTTCATTCAGGTGACTTTTGCCTTAAAAACCGTGATGGCAGGGGCCGACATGTTGGAATTGATAGTGATGCTCTAAAGACGCTTGTTGAGTCTAATCCAAGGCAACACACCCACGAAATGGCCCTGAAATTGCACGTATCTCATGAAACAATACGTAAAAATCTAAGGAATATGGGAAAATACCATAAAGAAGGTGTTTGGGTGCCTCACGAACTCTCCGATGATCATCGTTTCTAACGTGTGAACGTTGCTTCGCCTCTTCTGGCGCGTGAACCATTTTTGGACAGAATTGTCACCGGTGATGAAAAATGGATTCTCTATGCAAATATTTAACGCCAAAAACAATGGCTCAGTCCTAGACAAAAAACACTTTCGACTCCAAAACCTGGACTCCATTCGCAGAAAGTAAAACTAAGTGATACAGAACATAACTAAAACTAACTAAGTAATACAGAACATAGCTAAAACTAACTAAGTGATACAGAACATAACTAAAACTAACTAAGTAATACAGAACATAGCTAAAACTAACTAAGTGATACAGAACATAACTAAAACTAACTAAGTGATACAGAACATAACTAAAACTAAGTGATACAGAACATAAGAAATTTAACATTTCAAACAAAGGTATATTTAGTGTTGAACCATAATGATTCTAGCAGGAAAAAAATTGATTGTACAAATATTTGAAACTAAATACAAAGTGCAATTTATCGTTTGATTCACTACTTGTTACTGAGTTATACCAGTTCCTGGGAATTCCACTTCTCATCAGTAATCCTGGACAAAAAGAATGAATTAAAAACATCAGTGCCACATATTCTTCAAATCCTTAATTACTAATACCAATTAAATAAAAATCAGAATTCTAACGTAAGCTTACAGAAATTCCTTTAAAAAGTTGAAGTACAGGGTCAAATAGTAATTACCAGCTTATAATATTTATTGTTTATCTATTATTGGCTTATAATTCCTGTACTTAAGCTTTTTAAAATAACACTAATTTCTGTAAGAAAGCTAACTTCAAGGGGTAATACCATCACTAGAATTACGATTTTTAAAAAATTACTAATAGTTATTAATAATACTTATAAAAGTGGATACTCCATTTGAAACTATGTCACCTCAGTGAAATTGGTTGACACCATTGTTTTGGTTTTTAAGTTATCATGTAACAAAAATGAAGTAGAAAGAAGAACAAGAAATTAAAACTTTTTATTATGATATTTACAGACATTCCCAGAACTTGTGACTCAGTCATTACATAGATATTGTTATAAAAGGAAACACTGTATAATATTATAAAGTTCTGATGACCTATTGTGGAGATATTTAAAAATACAGTTTTGGTGAACAATCCGAGCCACCGCTACATAGGCAGTGCTACTGCTTGTCTGATATAGATTTACTATAGTAAGTAAATTACACCACAAATATAATACACACTCCATCACTACAAGGAATTTAGTCTTGTTCTTTTGTGGAGAACTGGATGATAGATTAGGCCTCATTTATTTTAAACGTGTTAAACAGCTTGTCTGTTGAATAATCCAATAGCAGCAATGCTTCATAATTTTCAAATCCAATACAAGTACAGGTTAAATGTGGTGAGTGAAAAGCAACTTTTTTGGTAAACAAAGTTTGCTGTATTTGACCAATATAAAAGCCAGTTCTTAACACTTTTCTAGTATAGCACTAGGTTTTCAGAATTATATCTAATGATAATACGTGATATTTATTTCCAACAAATGTGTCATATGCATTACAGAGTTCAGCTTAAAATATAACCTCACATATTTAATTACAGAAATTTCCAAACAAACTTAGTTATCTCTCACGCCTTTTGTGTTTGTTTGCATAAATCTGTTAAGTTTCTATATTTTCCAAAACATATGGTCCTGCTTTCATATGTCAATCAAACAAATGTTTTTGAAATTAAAAAGTGAATTCAAATAATTTTACTATGGTAAATTCAGAGCGAAGTTTTCTAAGTAACTATCATAATCTTTATCCGTCTAGATGAATCTATTTTAATTAATTATTTATTAAATATTGATAAGTGACTTAAATGTTAGAGGTCGTGGTTGTAACTTAGGTTCAGATAAAGATACTTATTTCACACAACTACAGTAGTTTGTATGTTGAACGACATACTTAAGAGTTGTATTGTGAACGAGTTATTTCAAGGCTCTGTTGCATAAAATTATGAACAGAAAATGTTACACTTAGCCCTTTTTTTTAGAGGTGGGAGTGAAACAGAAGCCTCACTCCCAAATCTTCTATCTCCCCCCTCTTCAATTAGGCTTTCTTATTATGTCCTACTAACAGATAAATTACCAGTTGGGCTGTGATTAAACACTATCTCATGAGCATAAACCAACAAACATAAATAAATGATTGTGTTGTAAGATAAAAGTATGTAAAAAACTTTACAGGGTCAGTTCACAAAACTGAAAAGAGAATCACAAATAAATAATAATTAATTACTATAAACTTTAATCTTTCTTTTTCTCTCTCTCTTTCTCACATGTTTTTAAGTTGTACTGAATTTTAGCATGTCATAGTTGCCCATGACCAGTATTTAAGTGATGGAAGTTTAATGTATTCTGTTTACAAAAAGGGATGGGCAATCAACTGCACTTTTGTTGTCAGAATTTGCGTGTGTTTCTACAGTTTCTTTCAACCTGTACTGTATAATGTAAATATTTTAATCATTTTAATGTGTTCTTTCTAAACTTCTGTCAATAGAAAGATCATCTCATTTCAAAACCTTATGATGTATTTTATACACATAGAATTATTAGGTTATTTAGATAATGGAATTAGAAACAAAAAAAGTTTCAAAAGTCTGTAATTATAATGATTTTGTCCTATTACCATGATTTTAACATTTCAATAGCTGCAAAGATTCATCACAAGTTATCTTTCAAAACAGTAAACATGTTTTCCAGATGTGCAAGTTATAACAAGTAGGCATGTGTGTATCTTCATTAAGAGAACATCTAAAATGCTTTTGTGGTAAACAATTAACTAAAATGCTTATTTGTCCACATTACGAAGCAGCAAAAACATGTGGAAACTGTAATAATGTAAGTACTTCTTAATGATAACTTGAACAAACGAAACAAAACTGTGGAGAAAAACTGTGATCTGATAATATTGGTATATTTCTAGAGTAACAAAAACTGGTTATTAACACAAGTAAAACAGCCAAACTTTTATTATTGTAAAACATACAAATTTAAATCTCCACTAAGCAATAAAAAGCTTAACTCTCTTTCTCTCAAGGCACTCACATATTGTATTTCAACTCAGTAGTCTTGTTACATAAGGCTAAGGTGAAGCAGGAACTAGCTCTACAACTCCTTAATGTATATGTACAGTCAAAATAAAAAGACTTTTGGCACAATTGACTAGAGCTCTTGCTTGCACAGTGGACAAGTAGTGCGTTCTTTTAAACATCTTCTGAGACAGTCACCGTGAAACATGTGTCGACAAGGCGTAACCCTGGCACACATCATTGCCTGAAGGCATACTGCACACACATCATCCCTCTCGGTGAGCTCCTTACGAGTCGCATATCTGTATTTATCAAGGCATGCTCGCTCCTGCAGAAGAAGTTTCCAGTGTTTTTCAAGATCACGTATACCCAGAAAGACATTGATGTAACTAGCTGCAAGTATAAGCATCCAACCTCCATCGGTACACAGCAAAACAACAGTGATCATAAGTCCTGAAGCAAAGGAGGAGAGAAAACGCAGAAGAACAGGACACCACAGTGGCTCCAAATTCTCTAGCATATCCAGCTGCATCCAGGACAACACAGTAGGGGCTCTCTGCTGGCAGGCTCGTTCTGTGAGGAGGAAATACATGGTTGTTACCATAATATACCACCACGTTGGACTGAAATGCTCCAAGCCTTGCTCCAAACCAAACACCAGCAACATGAATACCCCAGTGATGACAAAAGTGATTGCTTTGGTTAAATCCAGGATTATTTTGGTTGCAGTCAAGCTGAGGTGACGGATGTTTGTATGCTCTGACATACGAACTATTGGCGAGTAATTATGAAAGTCGAGCAAACGGCGAGCATAGGTAATCAGATAACAGAAAACATTGTAAAATAACAACGAATACAAGCCTGTCAACCTCTCCTTAGGACAAAACCAACGATCACATAGCATAAAAAATATGACCTGGTTGACTAGACAGCTGACTGTCTCACTGCGACGTCCCAAACTATCCATTCGATAACTTGTACTTGTCATTAGTGATTATCAAAATAAACAAGTTTTCTTCCCGATATTAAATAGGACTTTGAGCCACTGTTCAGCTTTTCTACATGGCTTGCCTTTCCTTCTTCAAAACTAAGAGTATAGGTATCATGTTAATTTTTTTCTAATTTTCCTGCATGGTTGGCATTTAGCATCTTGATCTCTAAAAGCAAAACATATACAAACATATTTATCATGTAACATTTCTTAACTTTTATAAAACAGCATGGTTACAAAAACAACCACCTGAATGTTACGCTATCAGATTTATCACCTCCATTGTACCCAACACACACAGACAAGAATACAAAGTAAATGAAATTGAGAAGTAAAGTCATGCTTTTTTCAATGTATTTAGTCTAAACATTTTGAAAAACAACTTTTTAAAATGAGCCAATAAACATGTTTATTAGATTTTCATACAAATCATAATATAAAAATTAAACTGTAAAAATTTAACAGCAACATAAAGTGGATAAGGAAAACCTGCCATTTGGCAATTTAGTCTTTACACATTAAGTTGGAAATAATGGACTTTGTAGCATAGGTTCAGACAAAAGTACTTATTTCACAGGACTATAGTAGTTTGTACGTTAAATGATTTACTTGAGAATTATACTGTGAATGAGTTATTTCAAGGTTCTGTTGCATAAGATTATGAACAGAAAATGTTACACTATTATGTCCTACTGACAGATAAATTATTCTGATAAACTACCAGTTGAGCTGTGATTAAACAGTTTTATCTTATGAGTGAAAAAATAATGAACACCAGCAATTTATAAACACAGCTAATTCAATGTGTTGCAGACACAGTTTTTGGGACTTCAGAACAGTAAATTATTTTAGGAAACTATAAGTTATATGAAAATATTATAACAATAGAGCAATAATACAACATTATACATGTTTACAAATTTTAGTAATGCTTATCATTTCTTTGGGATATAACAAACATATGGATGAAAACACATATTTCAAATTTTTACAAATGTTCAATAAGCATCTAATATTTTACATTTTTCTGTCATGTGATGTATCTAAGCTCAAATTTCTTTGCTTAAGAATCTTCTAAAAATAGCTTGCTATAGTTTCCAAACAACTAGAAACAAGAATCTAAAACTCGAACCTCTTACTTTCTCGATTTGCTGAGATATCAATAGATTTGTAAAACCCACCAAAGAAGCCCATCCCCTCTCTAACTTTCAAGATTGTTTGTTAATCAACTTTAAATGGGGGTAATGGACATATTTATAACCAATAGAAAGAACAGATTCTCCTGTACATAAAATTAAGAAGTAAACTGTTAGTCAGTGGAAAAGCTTGATATGTGTACTTCATATTTTGGTGCTCCTAACACTAGTGGAATTATTTTGACCTAATTATAGCTTATCTAAAATGCTGGATAAGTTATAGTAGTTTTGAAATGTTTTGTTCTAGTGGCTGATACATTTTTCTATGTTCTAAAATACAAATTTGTGAAACTCGACAAGGTTTACAGAAGAATATTTAACATTTTTACTCACATCCAAGAGCTCAAGTGTTAACTAACCCTTGCTTTTATGTATATACATTTTATCTATTGTTACATATTTTTTAACAAAGGTAACTAAAATGTAAAAATTATAAATTTCTCATTTTAGAAGAATTGCAGTACCAAAGTGCACACTGGCATGTAAACGTGTTTCATGATTACACGTCAGAAAATACAGAAGAAAGCACTGTTATTATAAATTACATCAGCTGTTTTGTTCAATTAAGGCTGGGCTGGTGTTCAATAGGGGGTCTACCTTTTGATAAAGCCATATGGTGAAACAATGAGGAATTAAAGAATTTCCACTTTATATTGCCTGTTTTTTTTCATAAAAACTTCTCATTTTAGCCTAACAAAACTTCAATAAAATAAAATGTCTAAAATGTCACAAGTTTAAGTTCTCTGTAAAACATTATACTCAGCAATCACATGGTGTTTATAATAGCTTTACAGTAACTTAAGAGCTGGGCAATTTAGTCAATATAATTATAAGTTGGCCAATGATGATGATGTTTTTTTTGGGGGGGGGGCATACTACATGTTTGGACAAAAAATTGGTCTGTCTTCATCGGATATGGTCCGTAATTAATCAATATGGAGTTTATGTAAAAGAAATTATGTTACCTGGTGACAGAATTATAGATAAAAGGTCAAGGCTGGTCAAATGTACAATTAGTGAATAAACTTAGCCAAATATGAATAAAATTGCTAAGGCCATTATCATAGTTTAGTGAAAGATCATTTGCTTTGATGATTTCTATAGTTTCTAAACAATCTCTTTCTTAGTTTTGGGTTAATGTGGGAGAAGAATTTCGTCCCAAAGTATTTTGTGACACGATTCAAATTGATGACATGTTAAAGCAGATATTTGAAACTCGTCTCTAAACAAGAGATATTTCAATAAACCATGATAATAGCTCTACCAACATCAGTCATATACGGCTAAGTTTATTCACTGCTCGTACATTTGACCTGCCTTGACCTCTATCTATAATCCTGTCACTTGATAATATCATTTCCTGTACATACACTATTGCATCTTTTGTCTCTGTATTTATATATATAAATCCTGTATAGCTTAGCTATAGACCATACCTGAGGAACACAGACCAATATTCTGTCAAAACATGTAGTATGTTCCCCCAAAATAAATCACTTTATTTAGCTTATAAACCATCGTTTGCCAACTTATTATTATAGCAACATAATGTGCTTCCTTAATCAAGAACCAATATAACTGGTTACCTATGAACAGCAATCCTATTGATTAGTGTCATATAAACTAATCAACCGATTGAAATTAGTGTTTCCGATTGTTACTGTTTTCAATTATTTCAGTAGTCGATTATTCAAAATTGCAATTATACCACTTGATCAAAATTAAAGTTTCCAGTTATTCCAACTATCCAAGTAATAAAAATATTGCCACCAAATGTCCTCACCAGTCTTTATGTTAAAGCTACTAAGGCTATCTGCCACTGTCACTAACATTTAACAGCTGACTAGAGGGAAGGCAGTATCCACTACCAATTATATTTTGTTTGTTTGTTTACTGGTGAAATACTGACTATAAAGAAGGAAAGCTCTATGGCAACACACACTACCAACAGTTTTTGTTAGCTTATATTTATCATAGTTGGAGGAAAACTGTGCAAATCAATTAATGGGACTGTCAATTAATTGATTAGTAATTACCAGCTCCATGGGAAACAGTTAGCGGACTCTAGGTGTGATTTATAAATTTTGATGCAAGGATTACTATAACAGTGGGTGCAAAGTACAGCAATAAAACCATAAGATTAAAAGTAAACTGACATGAAGACTTTGGATGTTCATTTACAAAGTTTTAGAGGTTTTGCAAATGAAATGTGAAAACTGTAAAATGAAAAGAAGTACTTTTAATCTCATGAAATTAAAATTAACTTTCACTCAGACTGCATCAGTAAAGGCTTCAGAAAAATACCAATAAATCTTTAGTAAAAATACTTTATTAAAAAATCCAATTTTTGTGTGTAACACAGACTTGTAATGTTTGCTAAAGGCTTGCCAAATTCTGTGAAGATACACATAGTGAACTCATGATTATAGTAAACATTAATATGTAAAGCTTCAGAAATACAGGGCAAGTCTATTACATTGTTAAAACAAGTTCTTCTTGATTAAACAAAAAAACAATAATAATATGGCATGTTGACTATGGCAATCTAATAATATCTTTTTCAAATATTAAAACTAAGGAAAGGCATGTCCTTCCAGATTCCTTCATCAACAAATATCCAGAAAGAAATGAGAGATTAATAATATTCTACAACAGAATACTGCAGTAAAATCTAACTGGAAACACACACACATTTCACTGATAAACAGTGGAGGATGAGAAAAATATATGAAAATGACAAACCTTTAAAAAGCTATATCAAGCTGTAGTCAAATAATAATTAAATTAAAAATGCTGATCAGCTCTAGAGGTAATGCATATGAGATATCATAATTTGAAATTATGAGTATAACTTTCATGAGAACAACCTTAATAGTGTTATGCAAAAAATGGATCTTTTGGTTGATCAGTCTCTTAAGCCATCCAAGCAATGTGCTGTTGCTGGTGGTAGGAAAAATAGAAATTTGAGTTGTATTTACATAACTATTGAAAACACATCTCAAGAGGTTATAATTTCTTTGTATAGGTTACTGATTAGGCCTTACTTGGTGCAGTGTGTTCAGTTTTCGGATCCTTACCTTAACCCTTTGGATACAGGTAGGTAAGTGTGCATTTTCATAAAGTTACATTCAAAATTTAATTAAACTACTATATTATCAATGTATGTTAATAAACTTGGCAACAATGTTCAGTTAATAAATTAAATTTTAACATAAGTTTTAGTTTCTTACTTTCAAAAGGAAATATCTAAATAAATTCTCAATCTTCACTTTAATGTATCGTGACAATTCACTCCGAATTGTACATTTTAGATAGTCTTTCCACCCCTATTTAAGTTTTAATTCAAATTACACAGTTATAGATATTGCCAAGATATAATCTAATTCAGTTGCTTCCAATAATCTTGTTTTACTTAGATATAAACCATGACGTCCAACCCACACACCACACCCTCCAATCACATACTGTCTTTCAAAAAATATATATAATTCTCTCTAATATTTGCTATTACATTACTTATAATCAACAGAAAAATATTTTCATTTACTTATTTAAGTATATTGCTAGCTCATTCTCGTGACAGCTTTTGAATTATTTGGCATACAGATTCAAAGTTGATATAGCAAAGTTCAGCTCGAACAGATGATGGAATTATTTTAACACTTATATTTTCTTAGTTAGAAAGCTAGTTAGATTACAATAGTTTTGGGACATTGTATGGTTTGTGAGTGTTATTATTTTGTGCTATAAATTGAATATTTGAAATAGATAAAAATTCAGTAAAGTATTAACAACTGCTATAGCAAAAATTAGGATTAACTTTCACTGAGACTGATTTTTTTGTACAAATGACTTGTAATATTTACTATAAGCTTGCCAAATTCCATGCAGATACAATGTAGTAGATACTTACTACATTAAGTTATTGTATGTATAATTTCATGGATACATGATGGTTAAAATGACTGAGCCCCTGTAAAGAAAGTTAAGGAAGTCATGAAATTTTTGAAAAGGGTTCAAAGCAAGGCTACTAGACTGATACATGGGATGGAAAAGTTATCATACACGGACAAGTGAAGATCTCAAAAATTGTTTTATTTTGATAAAAGAAGAGTTAAGATCTGATTGAGGTGCTTATGACTGTAAAGGGAATTGACAGTGTAGATGAATCTTTGTTTTTTTACTTAATAGTAAGAATGGTAGGATAACAATCAAGAGGATACAAATTTTGGATAGAAATCATCTAAGACAGTTTTATTTTTCTAACAAAGTTGTTGACCTTTCAAATTGGTTGCCCTCAGATGTGGTGAATGCAGTAAATTTAGGAGTATATTATTATTTTGTAAAGTTTAGTTTATTGGATGGGACAGCATCTATGTTATGTCTTCAGAAAACAACAAAGAAATCGGATGCTTTCATCGTATTGATCCACAGCAATTCATTACATAACCTAATCACTGTCTTAATTGGAATTTGGACAGTCTTTTCTAAATCTCCTTGTCCTATAAATTATCATCTTCAGAATATAGCACAGATACAAGAAACCTTTATCCTATCAACCTTCACATAACACAATCTTGTGTTATAACATAACACTTCAATAAGATCACCTCTTACCTTTCCTTCCTCAAGACAAACTAAAATAATTCTTCTATCCCTGCAATCATCTTAGTAGCTCTCCTTGAAACCCACTCCAATAATTCAACGTTGTTTTTAAATAAGGATAAAGGAGACCAAAACTGTAAACAGTATTCCAAATGGGGCCCAACTACAGATATGTATAGAGAGAATTACATCTTTTGACATGTACTTAATATACCCAGTGATGACAAAACCTGGTCGAAACGTTGTACATTTGCTGTTATGTTAAACTTATATTAAAGTTTTTCTTCATTACCCATTCAAGCCATCTCCAAGCATTATTAATATGTCTATAAATATACCACAAAATGGTATTAGATTTATTACCAGCAACAAAGCACTGCTTCAATGGCTTGAATGACTTACCTGCCACTATGCCAACATCATTTTCGTCAGTCATACTAATGAGTGGGTTCTCATCTATGTTACACGTGATCCAAATTTTAGAAAATCTAACTACTCCATGTCCATATCTTTTCCACCATCAATAACAAATTAATTAGAAATTTCCTTTTAGTAAATCCATGCTGGTTTTCTTTTAAATCATATTTCTCTAAATGAAATTCTTGTACCAGATTCTACAATGTTTCTCTCAACAAAAGTAAAAACAACTGACTTTTAATTTCCATGGCAAAAATTTTTTATTTCCTTAAAAATAAGAGTAACATCATTAATTTTCAAATCCTCAGTTCCATCTACTGTCCTACTAAAAATGAAAGAAAGAGGCTCACACATTAGATTTTTGATGTATAAAACCATGGGCAGAATACTGTCTAGTCCTAGTGCTTTATTTTAAATTTCTCAGGATTTCATTTCACCATGAAAGGATTACTATCTATATAATTCAGGTCAATTCCAGTATTTCCCATAGAATGATCAGGGTCAAGAGTATTTGTAAAATTATTTGTAAAAACAGAAGAGGACACCTCATAGTCTTCCACAAAAACTTTGCCATAAGGATCCTTTAAGGCCCAGTTCATAGTTTAACATACTTCAAAAAATCCTTGTTGTTAGTTTTAATGTTAAATAAAAAGTCAATAGATTAGTAAAACAAGGTTTCCCTTTGGTAAATCCAAGGCTTGAGTTAAAATGGAAGACTATTATATAATAGAAATTACTGAAACTTGGTCAGATTTAGAAAATATTGATGATATGAATTTTCTTGAAATTCCAGATTATAACATTTAAAAGTGTTTATTGATCCATCCACTAAACTAAACTTTAAGAAAAAAACAACAACACTCAAAGCCAGCCTTATCATATAAATATTTAAAAGGCTTTCCTTGAACTCCTTTTTTTTTCTCAGTTCACTGCATCTGAATACAACCCATTCTAAAGGCCAATCACCCTGTTAGAAAAACTGTCTTAGCTGAAGATGACTCCTACCCTGCCAAAATCTGAACACAACCCATTCTAAAGGCCAATCACCCTGTTAGAAAAACTGTCTTAGCTGTAAATGACTCCAAACCCTGCCAAAAATTTATATTTGTATCCCCTTGTCCTATCATTCTCATTATTAAGTACAAAAAAGATGATGCATCAACACTAGCAATGTTAAACACATCAATCCAACCACTTCTAACTTTTTTCAAGAGAAAACAATTTCAAAGATCTTAACCTGTTCTTGGATGACAATCTTTCCATCTTTAAACCCTTTGAAACAAGTCAGTGCTATTGTTAAGGTAAGGAGTCCAAAACTAAACATAATACTACAAAGAGAGCCTAACCAATGACTTATGCAATGAAATGATAATCTTTTTAGACTTATATTCAACATTTCTGTTAATACAACCTAAAATCTGTAGCTTCACACTATTGGTCACTCAACCAAGCACATTTATTGCTCTTTCGTTCAAGACGAATAACTACACATCCTTATCATGAAGATTCAATGAGTTACCCAGGCCTGCTGAACAGGGGCATTCACAGGCTGATTCCCAACATCTAGGGACATCACAGTTTATTTGATTGTGATGAACTTTTTACAAGAGAGGTTGAGCTGGTTCTTTATATAAAAGATAAGCAATATTCCGTTAGTAATTGAAGTTAAAAATGCTAGAGGTTTCAATTGTAGAAAAACTTGCAATCATTACAGGCCATATTATCAAACAAACGAAGTCAATGAGAAATCATATAATTAGGTTAGGGTTGTTACTAATATGGATCAGATAATAATAATTAAGGAGACTAGCTTTAGACAAATTAACTGGGATTATATGGAGTCAAATCATGTAGAAGAGAGGTTTCCAGATGAAAATCATGATGGTTTTCTATAAATAATGGTCAACCACGAGGAATAACATATTAGATATAATTTTAACCACTAATGAGGATGTGGTTATAAAAGTAGATGAATATTTTGAGAAGAGTGATCACTGGATAATTATATTTGATGTTTTGCTATATGATGAGATAAAATGAAACAAAATTTTAGTTTTTAATTGTTTTGAATTCAGTTTTCAGGCCATGAAACAAGATTTATCATTAAATTGAATTGGAATAACAAGTTAAAAGGTGATGTGGGCCAGATTTGAGAAATTCTTAAACATAAATTGCTTTTAATTCAAGATAGGCATGTTCTTCAGAAAAGGAAAATGATAACTGGGAAGACTAAACCTAACTGGCTTACTAAAAGTACAAAGGAAAAAATCAAGATTAAATGCCATAAGTTTAAATTGACCAATTGGATGGAAGATATACAGAACTATAGGAAAGCTAGGGATTTGATTAATATAAAGTTATTAGGAAATCCAAAAGGACCTATCAGAAACAGCTATCTGATAATGTTTAGTCTAAGATTAAGTTGTTTTGTTTTAAGTAGTTAAAGGTAAACAAAATGTTAAAGGATGTTAATGGAAAGGTTCTCGTAGAATATAAGATAGTTGAGCATATAAATATTTTCTTCTCTTCCATTTTTCAAAAGACATATGTTAGCAATATTCTTCATCCTATGTAAATATTGGGATTGATTTGAATCATGTATATATTAATCCCTTGGTGGTAAGGATTAAGATTGAGGGATCAGAAACAGATAAAACACCTGGACCAGCCAACTTTTCCCAGGGGCTTTAAAGGAATTCAATGGTCAAATATGCAAGCCTCTTTCTTCATTTTTTTATAGATTAAAAAACAGTGGGCAAGTTGCCCTTGAAATTACATCAGTTAGTCTTACTGTTGTAGTGAGAAAGATTTTAGAATCTGATAAAAGATGTTTTGCAAAATAATACAGTGAAATATGGTATCATAAAGGAAAATCAATACTGATTCACTACATCTGTCATTACTAATATTTTACCTTTATTGAGGATAATACTTGTTTTCTGGGTGATGGTAATGGTATGGACTAGGTATACTTAAGATTTTCAGAAAACTTTTTATAAGGGTGTATTTTTGACATACGCTTACAAGTCAAAACAAGTAACAATCTCTACACAAATCACTATTTGGGCATCACTGAAAATAATGGGACAATTTTAACCTCCTTTTCAAAGAAAGGATATTGAGTTACTAGACATGGTTCAGAGAAGGATATTTAGGTTATGTTAAGGGGATATTTTGATATATTTTCTCTTTAGAAAAGAAGGGCAAAAGGCAATCTTATTGAAATTTAGTAAATTATCCAGGGGAAAGGAAAGGATAAAGGCCTCTGATTTCTTTGTGTTATATTCTGAAAATAATAGATAGAAAGCAAACATGTTTAATTTTTGTAAAAGACAAGCTAGGCTCCAGTTGTGAGAGTGTTATTTTTCTAACAGGGTGACAGTTTACAGAAAAATTGTTATTGGTAATAGTAGAAACACTTTTCAAATGTTTAAGAGTGGAATTGATGATGTCCTGAAAAATTAAATACTTGTGGGTGTGAAAGAACAGCTTCGTAGGACCAAATGATTCTTCGTTGTCATATGTTAAATTATGTTACACCTTGGATCCCGCTAAGTAGTTCATTCCCAAAAGTGCGTGAGAGAGAACACCTGAAAGGGCCATATATATATATATTTCTATCTCTAAACCTGTGAAGTTCTCTATAGCAATAACCTTCCAGTCAGTTTTTTCTTCTCCGACCTGCAACCTGTAAAAACCCAGGATATATTTGTCAACAACTTATGTACAGTATCTACATTATAGAATCTTATGATATTTCTTGTAAAGATTAAATTTAATAAAAAAATGATTTAAATGAATAAGGGTCATTCAGCCTATCATCGTCCCCCATTCACTAATCAAAATAATCAACTGAATTAAATGTGGCTTTCACAACAATAAAGCTAACCTACAAATGTTTTAAATAATTTAACTAACAGAAACTACGGAGAGTATTTTTACCAGGTCATTACAGGAAATGTCTTGAAATACTCATCTGTAGTTTCAACTTTCATGAGTATTTTCACCAGTTCTTAAAACTTGCAAAGTTGCATATTATAATGTAGGCTTAAACATCAAGTGTTGGCAAATGGAGCTTTGAATTTTTTGTCTTTTACAATCATGTCAACATTAATAGTGAAATGAAAGCAGATGCATGTCAATGGCTTTTACCTTGCTATAAATTAACCTAATGGGTTTGGAGACTGGTAAATAGTAGTGTTAACACTTATTATATACTAGCAGTACAACTACTGTGAGTTATAACAAGAAAGTGCATTATTGTACACAGTTGCATAACTTTGTCAAACACACAATAAAATATGAACAGCACTGGACCATTTAGTCCCTGTTTTCCTTGCACACCCACCATTGACAACAGTAAATACTTAAACCCATACTTTAATTTTCATGAAATAATTAATCCCCCCCCCCTCTTAAACTCTTGTATAGTTCATATTCCATCTTACATTACTATTGATGGCAACTTATTCCATAAGCCAATCACCCTATTAAAAAATAAAACTGTATTAACTGGAAACTAGCCTGTCTTTAAAGTTTAATGAATCTTGAAACATATACCCTCACACTGACAAAGACATCAGAGGCCTTTGTCAACTCTCTGACAAACAGATAAAAGACCATTTAGTCGTTAAAGTTAAGGTTCAAGGCCGTCCTTGCACATCCACCTTTAGGAAACATGAAAACTTATACCCACCCCTTTTTCAGGAAATTACCGACTCCCCTTTTAAACTACTGTTATTTGCAAAGTACTGGCTTCAACAACTGCTGACACTGACAGCAAGTCATTACACAACCTAATTACCCTATTATAAAACTGTCTTAACTGGAGCCTAGACAGTCTTTTCCAAATCTTATTGATATCCTTGTTTACTCTCAGTCTCATCCCATTAATAATTATCTTCAGAACATAGCATAAAAGAAACAAGAGAACTTTAATACCCCCCCCCCCCGAATATTTTTATAAACTTCAATTGCTGAAATAGATCACCACTTACCTTTCTTTTCTCAGGAGAAATCAAGTTGAAAGACCTTATAAAATAATCATTCCAATCCCAAAATCATCCCCAGTGGCCTGTACTAGTGGTCCTCGAGTCATATGACTTGTGAGTCTTAGTTCTCTTTACTCTTACTCTTAGGGCCTAATTTGTTAATCTTAGTTCTAACTCGACTCTGTGATACTACTTGTACTAGTTTAAGATAAAAAAACAAAAACAATTACAACTTTAGGTTTCATAGTTAGTTGTACTTTATAAATATAGACTAAAATGAACAAGAGAAATATGTTTTACTTACACGCTTCTTAAATTAAAAATCTTAAGAAATGAACAAAGAGGAAACAGGGTTCACTCCTGAACAAATCTTGCCTACTGTACACTAGGCCTAACAACACAAGCAATCTTATCCACAGATCTAAATACTTTACATGTCACTCAACTTATTTGTTATAAAAAAAGAGGTTATAGGAGGTCTTTATTTTCAGCCAACTCACCATGGAAATGAAAATACGTTTATTCTATTAAGTATAGGAACAATCGTTTATCTTATAGGTATTATTTTTATTTATGTAACTTATTCGCCATAATACGGTGCTAATTTATTTTAAAACCAAGTTTGCATTACGTTTATTCCATTTTGACAACTTAAAGTCTGCATTACGGAGCATTTTCAGAAAACGGTCTTCTCTTCTCGAGCTAAGTTCCCCATTAATTAAGGCAGTTTAAAGGGTCTTCTGCTGTTGTAGTATCATGCGGTTGATGTTGTACCTGTATTTTCATGAAAAATAAGTAGGCTTTTGAAAGATGTTAAGGAGAAAGCTATTTCTGACGATTATGAGATAGCTGGGTTATTAAATTTTACAAATGAAGACATACGCAGTACTTGGTTTGCAGACATAATATGCGTTTTCCACCTTCTCAATCAAAAATTAAATTTAAAGTTTTCAAAAAATTTCATTTATTTTACGTCTACGTAATTGATTTCGTTCTAGCAACCTTTATTCTTTGTTATTGTATGGAGATAACACTTGTTTTGTCTATGAGATATTGACGATAATGCTCCAGTTGTGCAAAAATGTCAACGTCCTCGAATAGTTCGCCAGATGATATTTCGAGGTTAGGCCTCCAATTTGTTTATATCAAAATGAATAGTCACTTGAGCAGCGCTAGCCGTTATGGGTAAATCTGGCACTTCCAGTTAAGAAAAAAAATATTTGATTTAAGCATTCGTTACTTCATATTGAACAAAGTGGGTAGCGGGAATAAATCACATGGAAAGGGCCCCAGTTTAATCAATTAATGAATCCAACGAAAGGCGACCGTTCAGCGTCCAGAAGCAAGTACACACACTGTGTTTTCGTATCTTTTATATAAATAACTATTATTTTCATTCAGTGTTACATACCGTGTCCAGTCCATTGATTTTTTGTTCAAACTCAGTTTTAGCTACATTCAGTATCACTTATGAAATATCCTGCAGACCTTCCCATTATATAGGGGACCTGCCTAATTTACTCTTTCGCAAATTCAGTTTTATCTGAAAATACCACAAAGTAGACAGGAAGGTGAAATGTTGGTGCTATGACCACAGGAGATTATTGTAGAGTTTACTGTTTTGATAATGTGTATATTACCCTTGCTTGAATTCTTGTTTTACCAACTTTAAAGGAAAGCTTCTGACTTAAAGAATGACATTTTCTGCAAATTTATGTACTCACGACTGAGAAGGAGAGTTAGCAACTGAAGTGAGACAGTTGTGCAAGAGACCTGTCAGGTCTTGAAGTCCTCTCCTGGACATTAGATTTTTGCTGATGATACAGAGGTCCATGCCTTTGAGCTCTCTGCAGCTGCAAACTCAGTAAGATTAACCAATGTCTGGTGCATCCAGAATGACAGATCAGGCATTGCTCCTGAGGATTAATCTTAGTTCAAGGAATGCATGACCATCTGATGGTTGCTGAGATAGAATGGTGTTTGGTGAGGCCAAGACTGTGTGGGTGGTCTATACAGAACTTCAAGCTGTTGCCAGCCAGATTGACTCAATCTCAGCTCTGGTCAAGACCAGTCAAGAAGGACTGACCAAAGTCCTTCTGCTAGGCGAGGTAATGAGCACCAACCAGTGGGCACTGTAAACCACAGGGCAGAAGAGAGTCTCTTCAAGCTTGAAGGTATCCTGCCACAGGTGACTATGGATCATGAAGAAACAGGGACTGACTACTCACTCTAGGGGAAGGATTCATGAGCAGGCCTTTTGTGCTGTCCCCAAAATGTTGATACTATTGTCATAGGCAGTTTTTTAGAATCTATAAGGGGTGGCTTTAGCTGCCACCAAAGGTCTCTGTGAGTAAAGCCAAACAGTTTTCATCACAGTGTTCAAAGGTATGGGCAAAAGAAGTCCTGACATTGTCCTTCTGTCCTTCTGAAGCATTTCAGGGAAGTAACTGTTGGGAATGACTAGTCTCAAGAGCAGGCAGTCCAACACTTGAACCTTGGTTTGGATGATCCAACCCTGGACTCTATCAAGCATTTGAAAGAGGTGTATCTAGAAGATTAGAACATAGTTGTACCTCAGTTGTACAGATGATTCAACCAGGAGGATTGAGCAAGCCATGGAGCTGAGTTTAAGATTTGAAAAAGAAGTGACACCAAAAGTGTGGCCACTTAAGTGGATGATATACACCATCTGCACATTAAAGAATACCCTGAGATGGCTGAGTGGAGCTTGATACATAGTTGTGAGGGTAAAAGGGCGAGAGATCAAGTTCCTGGTTGACACAGGAGCAACCAGAACACAGATAAATCTTGTGATAAATCAAGCCCTTCAAATGAAACCACCATTCCAACCAGTGGATACTGACTTCATTCTGGCAAGTAGCTACAGACTAGATGTAACTGGTGAGGCAAATCTCTGGCTGTGAAAATCTTACTAACAGAATGAAAGTTGTCATCTAAGACCTTGGTTCTAGCATTGGCATTCTTGGGATGGACATACTGCAAAACTTATCAGCCATTTTTGCCTATGAACTGGTAAACCTATATTTAGCAGGAGAGCTATCTGATGTAAGGCAAAATAAGCCCAGGAACAGTGGAAATCATGAGTGTATGAAGCAGAGAATATATTTCTACCTCCATGTATAGAAGTGGTGTTCTGGGGTTTACTGTGGATAAACTCTAGTGTGTCAGTACCATGTAACATGGTTATTGAAATAATATATGAAATAAACTGCTTCCTGTCCAGAAAGCAAAAAGTGTTAGTTTGGGCAGTTATCTGTCCAAGGATTTATAAGCTCCAGGTGTTTTTGTGTAATTGTGGACAACCATTTATCCAGATTTATGCTGGAATGATCATTGACACATTTCTTTTGCCATATAAAATTAATGTCTGAAGGCATTGGAGTGTTTAACTGGTTGAATACTTTAAATCTCATCTGAATACTGGAAAGTCAAGCTGGATGATTAAAGTAGACCTAAGACTGCTCTTAGTACAAGAGATAGTTTGTATCATTTTTTGCATCATGCCATTTGGCCTGTGTAATATGCATGTCACTTTAGTGGGAAATATTCTTGATCTAATTCAATAATGTTTTGGTGTTTGGTCACATGCTAAAGTCTGGTTGAGAACCTGAAAGTGGTATTGTAATAAACAATGGAAGCAGGCTTGAAACCAAGAAAATGTGAGCTCATTTGCACATAAATGGAATTTCTACAGACCCTGCTAAAATAGCAACACAGATTGTCCCCAACCTGTGACCAAGAGAGATGTCTGCAATTTCCCTGATTCTGCACACTACTGAAGGTTTTGTGAAACGAACTGATTTAAGACAGCAGTCCTATTGTTTGTTCTCATTAAAACTAATACACATTTCAGATAGAGCAAGGGATGTGAACAGGCATTCTGATACCCAAAGCTTGCTTTAGTGGAGGCTCCACTGCTGGCATTATTGGTAAAACAGCAAACTATTATTGGACACCGATGACAGTGATAATGTAATGTTATCACAGTTTCAGGATGAAGTAGCATGTGTAACTGTAGATGCTAGTCATATCCTCACAGCTCCTGGACACAAATATTATGTGATGAAGAAAGAACTGCTTACAGCTGTATTCTTTGTAAAACATTATCACCACTACTTGTATGGAAGAATATTTACTATCCAGATGTACCATGTCTGGATGATATGATTAATAAGCTTTAAAAATATATAAAAGATAATAGCATTTTGTATAAGAATATTGCAAGAGCATGACTTTGTCACAGTGTATCAATCAGGCTCACAACATGGAAGCATGGGCAGACCGTCTTGCTGTATGGTGAGACCCTATTCATTTATTGAATATCCTTATCACAGACACTGTTTAAGAGTTCAAACATTTCCACCATAGTATCGTCAATACATGCAACAGGATATTCCACTAGTGGATGGATACTACAATTAAAATTTTGAGAGCTCCAGGAAGAGCAACTGCAGGAAATCAAACCTACGATGAGTACTCCCTTCAGTTCAGCAAGGTAGAACTCAACCAGCACAAACAGAGGAACACAGCATGGACATACATCCAGTGGCTCGTGTATGGTCAGTTACAAGTGAAAGAAGGTATGCTATGCCATCATTTTCAACCACTGAGTCATGGTTCTCAGGATGTCCTGTAGCTAATGGTCCTAAGAGCTCCACAACGAGAGATGTGCTGGACAAAATCTGGTTGGCAAGGTGTTACTCCCACTTGTGCTAAAATTCAGTAGTGATTGTACTAGCCACATTTGAGTCGAGAAACAAGCTATTGGGTGGTATTGCTGCTTAGTTAAGGTGAAGTTATGATGGTTTGTTAATTACAATATTAACAGGGCTGAAAGGGCTTAGCAACCTTTACTTTTGAGCTATTGAGCTGAGTTTCATTGCAGAAGATATAAATATCAGATGCAAGCTTGTTTTGTTTGTTTGTAATTAAGCACAAAGCTACACAATGGGCTACCCGGATATTAGCATTATAAGTCTGTAAACATACCACTGGGGGGGTTATGAAAGCTGCCTGATTTACCTCATAAGCAAGGGCAGTCATATGGTTGAAAAACTGATGACTGAAAGGGTGTCCAAGTTAGTAAGTGGTTTTCTGAAGTGAAGCATTGTTCAATGTTTGAAAAGTATAATTTATCTGATCTAGCTGAGTGGCAAAATCTCTAGTGTATGGTGCCTGGTCCTCGCTATATTCTCTCCCATACACCTATATATTGTATATGTTTATATATGCAGTAAAATAGTCTTGTATCATCTGAGTGTATATTGAAATACAG